CCTTTTGGATTGCTTTGAACCGTTCTTCATCTTGCTGAAAAACGCCAGAAATTATTAAAACATTAAGTACCGTATAAAAAGAAAAATTGTTTTTGTTCCCAAACAACCACTTTTTAACAAAGATGTATGTAACAGGAGCTCTCTTAACCCTCCCCCTAATCCTTCTCAAAACTCATAGGAAAGCGACAATTCACTCCTACAGATATCCATCAAGGCGACCTTAAGTCAGACTTTTGAATTGAACATACCTGACGACGCTTGAAAATCTCGTCTTCTACTTCTCCTAGACCGAGCATAATCCGCTCCACTCTGTCCATATAAACATTCCCGTCTTTGGTCAAATACCTACAAATTTATCCAAAACATCTCATAGCATTTATGCTTGCAATAATTTTGCTGTTCCCGAAGAAGATTCTTCGGTAGGCTACTTACAAGTTTAGAAGCTGTGCCACAGAACCTACCCTTTCATCGTATACACCATATCCTTATACAATTTGATCAAGCGATCTATGGCACCTTCTCGAATTTCTAACGAAGGGAGGTGAGGCAAGAAGTCATTACCGACGAAAAAGCATAGGAAAACCTGAAAACACGTTGACATAATAAAAAATGACTAATACTCCAGGCAGCATCAACAAGCGTACCCAATCATCGATCACGCGTTCGAAGTCGTACTTGAAGGGAAGATTTTCCATGGCCATTTCCCTCTCCAGGTATTCTCGCAAAACGGGTATACGCAAAAAGATGAAGTTCTTCTCTTTTGAAATAGGATCGGCGTGTTCGGGACCTTTTTCCTCATTTTCAAGCCTAAAAAGGAAGTTGTAGGGTGAATGCAGGTGTGAATTGCTCGACTTCACACTTTTGAATGTTTGCGGTAGGATCATGAAATTCCGGAGAAAAAACCGTTTCCAAAATGACCACTGAGAATTGAAGTAAACCACATTTTCTTTAAAACTTCAGCTGCAACTACATATTATAGAAACTTTGAAAAACGTACCCTCTACACTCTTTCAGCTCATGTCCGTATTGGCCACAGAGATCGCAAGGACGTTGCTGGTTCGGAATAAATTCCTCACTGGAAGAAGAAGGGGTTGAAATATGAATTAAAAAAAAACTATTTGCCTGCCTTACCGTATAATATTGAAGTTAGCCTCATGGGTCGCTAAGCCCAACATGATGAGATCAGCATCGGCCCCACAAAGGCAATGTACAGTATCCGGATTATGAGCAGGATTTGCACGTTGTTTTCGGATGAAATCCATTATTTTATGCTCACCTTCTCCGGGAGCGTTGGCGTCAGACAGAATTACCTAAAAGTGAGTCTTAGCCGAATGGTCAACACGATCAACGGTAAGGTGGGTGGAAACGGACCTGAATTTTAGCCCATGCAGGATCTGTGGTTATCCTGTCATGAATGTAGTACCTCAACACTTCCGCCAATCTGAACAAAAGCAAAATGTTACACTAATTCCCTGACAGTTCGCTACATATTTAGAGAAGATAATGTGTCCGAGGAACTCAAGATTTATCAACACCAAAAAATGACCACTCGTCTTTTTTATGGATAGGACAGGTTGCACTGCTCCAATTCTAATGACAGGAAGAAGATGTTTTGCCCAAGTCAATCAGCGACTTTTTAGCGGGTGGATTGCCGTCGCTAGCAGAAGTTTTAAAGCAAAATATTCTTCAAGTATCCCTCTATGCACACACAAGCCCTCCTTCACTGGCCCTCACCGTCTTCAGAATGAAGTCATTTGCTACCGTCACCCAGCTACCGTAATTGCTCCAGCATTGAGCTCTTAGATAATTTCTGGAATTGATTTACTGTCGGACAGTTCCCAGAGGCACAAGCTCTGTCGTATGCGACTCCCTCGAATCCGCTTTTTCAGAGCTTAAAGATATAATCAATTCACAAATAAACGCGTACGTGTTCAGCAGCGACAGACAGTAGAGAATACGATGGTCGTTCGTAGATATCTGTTTTCGTTTTGGGCAAGATTGTTTCACAAAGAGAAGATTGAACTACCGCCCTAGGAATGCCCAAATAATTTCACAGACACTTACTGCATTAAAAAGGTGTTAAAGTGTGTATGCAGTTGCTGTGAAGTGAGCTTCTCAGTCTCCTGGTGGTAAAACGGTATGCCTTCTCTCAAACTCCGGCGTTGCTAAAACATGCAATAATATCGTCAATGCAAAATATGCCATTGTTTTCAAACAAACAAGATGACACAAAAAACTGCAGATGATTCGCATCTCATTACCGAGCATTTGACAAAAACAACCGAATCTTTTGTACTTTCGACTTGAAGAAAACAATCCATGGATATTTTTTACCCCTCATCGACTAGAGACCCACTCAGGAGGAAGAAAAAACCACTTCTAACCAGGAAAGAAAAGTTAAATCACCTCCTCAATTGACTCATTCTTCTCCCACGCCTCCTTGGAAGCTCGAAAACGCCTGCTCCGCTGTTGATTCATCTGCAAACCACTGAGTATGTTCCGAGCGCAATGCTTTCTTCAAAGTAATCTTACTTTTGCTCTTGGAGCAACTCCGTCTATCGCCATATATAACAACTTTCGAGGTCGAACAATGGAGAATATCCTATCAATATATTCGAAGATAAGTGCCTGAAGGTAGTGTGATTTTTAGGGTATATGTGGCCAATACAAACAATGAAAAAACATGAAGATGGGCTCGAGCTCATTATTCCCCCATAAACTTCACTTCTTCTTTCAGATGCCGTATTTCAAAAAAGGAGGGATTTGCGGTAAATTCCCTTTCACAAAATCGACCGTAAAAGGCAACACGAAAAGGCAACTTCGAAAATTCAAAAGATGGTCCAGTAGTTTCGAAAAAGAAATAAGTAACTCCAGCTCTCGTTACTTTTTCAATGCTAATTTCAAAACACTTGAAAACCGCTCAAGACTGCGACTGTTGCATAAAAATGTCAGTGAAAAGGCCATGATCTCAAATAAATTCAAGTGAATAAAAAAGTTTTCTAATTAACTCCATGTATCCCCTCGAAAATTTGTTCCAACTATCTCTTTCTACATTCAACCCAAGCGAGTGCTATGAAGTAAAGCACTCACAAACATCTCGTCCTCATTGGCGGGAGCTGGGCGGTCCTCCGGATGAGTGCAAGGGTGAATGATTCCGTTCATGTCGAGATATAAGTTGTCGAATTCCTAGAAACATGTACAGATTGTGAAATTCAGGGATAGTTAGGATAACCGTTTCTTGAGTAATTCTTATTCGGTGAAGGCAGTC